AAAGAGAAACCTTTTTTGGAGAGGGAGTGGGGTGGGTTGGTGGGGGTGAGGAAGGTTGAGAAGGAGTTTTTGAAAATGTTTTCTCTTCTCTTGATAAGGAAAATATTTTCCTTCAATTGGAGGAAAATGAGTTCATAAGAAATATATTTTCCAAAATATTTTAGTCAACCAAACATGAGAAAATTGAAAATATTTTCCGAAAAATGTTTTCCTTCGTACCAAACACACACTAAAGATGCTATAAATGTGATGTACAAATATGAAGGAACAAGTAGCCCCTAGTCCATACTTGTGCATTGACTTGGAGCTATATATGGTCTGTTCAACAATTACTAATGACTAAAATCAAAGTGAAACATCAACTCGAAAATATTTGTCCCTTGTAGCTTTCGTTTGAAATTTCCATGGAAAGACTTGTGCACTGACTTGACTAAATATTGGGTTATTTATTTCTTATTTTAGTGATTAGATCAATATTGTTACCCTAATGGCGAAGTTAAAAAATTCAAGAATTTCACTTTTTCTTAACATTAAACCAATTACGTATTTGTCTATTTGAAAAAAAAAAAGAAAAAAAAAAAAACAGGCCGCAGATATGATTCTTGTGAGTTGAGCTTCAACTAAGTTCTATTCATACTATATAGCTTCAAGTTAGTTCTATTAATTATACACCCCAGAATTAAGGATAGGCCTTTTTGTCCTCATTATATTTGGTAGGAAAAAATGCTCCTTATCTTAATATCCATCAAACAGTAGCAGTTGTGCTCTTTGTCTTTGTCTGTCAAGAACTTGCTTTTTCTTCATCCACATTACCTCAATTGTGCAATAAAGATCAAAGTATTTCCCTTCTAAAATTCAAGCAGACGCTTATTGTAGATCCCTCTGCTTCTGATTTGTGTGGTTACTATGGTAAGAAATCTTATGTGAAAACGAGTACATGGAATATGAGCAGAGATTGCTGCTTATGGGATGGCGTGATATGCGATGAGTTTACTGGTCATGTTATTGAGCTCGATCTCAGTTGCAGCCAGCTTAAAGGGATTATTGATTCTAACAGCAGCCTATTCCAGCTCTCTTATCTCCAAAGGTTTAACCTTTCTTTTAATTCCTTCCGGTCTTCGGAAATCTCACCTCTATTTGGCAGATTTTCGCACTTGACGCATCTCGATCTTTCTTACTCACATTTCACAGGTCAAATTCCTTCTGAAATCTCTCATCTTTCCAAGTTACAGTTTCTTTATTTATCAAGTAATACCATGCTCAGTCTTGGACCTCACAATTTCAAATTGCTTCTTCAAAATTTGACCCAATTAAGAGAGCTTGATCTTACTACAGTAAATATATCTTCCACCATTCCTCTAAACATCTCTTCTCATATAACAACTCTGATGCTTGCGGGGACAGGATTGCATGGGGCATTACCTGAGAGTATTTTTCACTTGCCAAACTTGGAAATTCTCGATTTAAGAATCAATTTTCAGCTCAGTGGTTATTTTCCAAAGACCAAATGGAACAACACTGCATCTCTCAGGGAGTTATATCTCTCTGCAGTGAATTTTTCTGGTGATTTTCTGCCCGAATCTCTTGGCTATCTAACTTCATTGCAGAGACTGAAACTTGAGTTTTGCAATCTCTCGGGGCCGGTTCCGGAATCTCTTTGGAATCTCACCCGTATAGTGTTTTTGGATCTTCACGGTAACAATCTTGAGGGACCAATTCCTCTGTTTATAAGTGGAATGCAGAATCTGGAGATACTCTCGCTATCAAATAACTCCCTGAATGGAGCAATACCGTCATGGGTATTCTCCCTTCCATTACTACGTGAAATGTACTTGAAGGATAACCATTTTTCTGGTCAACTTGAGGATTTCAAGTCCAATACACTAGTCAAGATTGCATTAGGAGGCAATCAGCTGCAAGGTCATCTTCCCAAGTCAATTCAAAACCTTGTGAATCTAACACTACTTCATCTTTCATCTAACAATTTTAGTGGCATTGTAGACATCAGCTTCTTTTCAAACCTCAAACAACTTATCGATCTGGATCTTTCATATAATAGTATTTCGCTGACCAATGACAACAATGTCAAGTCTACCTTGCCCGAATCTCTTACACACTTATCCTTGTCCGATTATGAAGTAAACGAATTGGACTTTTTGAGATCAGCAAAGAATCTTCGTTTCTTGGATCTTTCAAATAACAAGATTCAAGGAATAATTCCTGATTGGGCATGGTCTAATTGGATGTACTCACTGAATTCTCTTAATTTATCCCACAACATGTTGACAAGTTTTGACCACATTTATCTTCTTCCTCTATATGCTATTGATTTACGATCTAATTTTCTTCAAGGATCGCTACCTATTCCACCGCCCTGTGTAGGATTATTCTTCATATCAAATAATAGTCTCGATGGGGAGATCCCTTCTTTCTTTTGCAATTTGACATCATTAATAGTTCTTGATTTGGCAAGAAACAATCTGAAGGGAGCAATTCCACAATGTTTGGGTAACATGAGCGATCGACTCGAGGTTTTGGATATGCAACACAATAGTCTTTCTGGGAATCTCCAAATAACTTTTAGAGTTGGAAGTGGACTGAAAAGCTTCAACTTGCATGGCAATAAGGTAGAGGGAAAAATCCCAAAATCTTTAGCCAATTGCAAAGAATTGGAAGTTCTTGATTTGGGAAACAATCACCTCAATGACACATTCCCTATGTGGCTGGGAACACTTTCGAAGTTACCAGTTTTAAGCTTGAGATCCAATAAATTGCATGGACCCATCAGAGCTTCAAGGACTAAAAACTTGTTTCCTCATCTTCAGATATTGGATCTCTCTTGCAATGCATTTATAGCAGAGCTGCCAACAAGTCTCTTTCACCATTTGAAAGCCATGAGGAGAATTGATCAAACAATAAAGGTACCGAGTGAAGATAGATATTATGAAGACTCGGTAACTGTGGTAACAAAGGGACTGGAGCTTGAAGTTGTGAGAATCTTGTCTTTGTACACCACTATGGATCTTTCAAATAACAAATTTGAAGGACATATTCCAAGTGTTTTGGGAGATCTCATTTCGCTTCGGGTGTTGAATTTGTCTCATAATGGATTGGAAGGTGATATACCACCATCACTTGGAAATTTATCTCTAGTGGAAACATTGGACCTCAAATATAACCAGCTTTCGGGAGAGATACCAAAACAACTTGCTTCTCTTACATATCTTGCATTCTTAAATCTCTCCCACAATCATCTCCAAGGATGCATTCCTCAAGGACGTCAATTCCACACCTTTGAGAATAACTCATATGAAGGTAATGATGGATTACGTGGATTTCCAATTTCGGAAGGTTGTGGAAGTAGCAGGATGCCCGAGACAAATAACGCAACACGCGTGTTGGATGAAGAAAGCACTTCTGAATTTCTCAATGATTTTTGGAAAGGTGCTCTTATGGGATACGCGAGTGGACTAATTATTGGATTATCCATAGCATATTTCATGCTTTCAGCTCGAAATCCCAATTGGCTTTCTTGGATTGTTGAAGAACTAGAACACAAAATCATCATGAAAAGGCGAAAGAAGCAGCGAGCCCATCAAAGGTACTACAGAAGATGAAATTATTTGCTTGTAGAGGAGTTAAAAATTCAGGTATTGAAGTTAAATTCAACATTGATCGTTTGTTTATTGCAACTATCAAAATCTTAGTTTTCATAATTTTCTTATATCAGCAATTGACCGAATGCTCTATAATGCATGTATTTTTCTTTCCAAAAAATATTTTAAAACCAAATTATTTGATTAGTTGAAGTGATCCAATAATATGGTTAACGGCTGGTTTAACAAGTGCTTCAAATTCGAACATGCAGGTGGTTAATTGGAATGTTCATCGGCGATGCAACATCAGATGCAGCATATCTTATGATGCTGGATTTGATTTTTAGTTTCTATGTAAGTTTTTTTTTCCTTCTTCCTTTAAGAGTAGGAATTGACGTGGAAAATGTAATATTATGAATTTTGATGATATTAAGTTATGTAAATCTTCTCATCAATACCTTATACAATTTTGACATACCAGAACAACTTGCTTCTCTTTCATCTCTTTAATTTTTAAGCCTCTCCCGCAATCATCTTGAATGAAGGATATGTATCCCTAGAGGACGTCAATTTGCTACATTTAAGAGCAATTCATATGAAGGCAATGATGAATTACGTGAATTCCCTATTTCAGAAGGTTGTCGAAGTAAATGGATACCAGAGACAAACAACAAATTAAAACATGTGTACTGGATCAAGAAAGCAATTCGACATTTCTAATTGAATTCAGTTGGAAAGTGTGGTTCTTATGGGATATGGGAGTGGACTAATTATTGGATTCTCCATAGAATATTTCATGCTTTCAGCTCAAAATCCAATTTGGCTTCACGGGCGAAGCTAGAAGCTAGGGTACGAGTTCAGTCGAATCCAGTAGTTTTTACTCAAAAAGTATATTTATGTTAAAACATTTATTGAATATATATAAATATTAAATTTAGACTCAATTATTAATACTTAAAAACTTTGTTTTACAAAAACCCATAAAGTTAAAATCTCCCCACTTACCCTTTGATTGGCTTTCTTGGATCGTTGATGAACTAGAATACATAATCATTTTGAGAAGGCAAAAGAAGCAGCGAACTCAGAAAAAGTACCCAGCAACTTAACATGAATCTTTCCTCCCAAACTAATTTTTATTGCTAAAGCTTGTTGATTAATATTAGCATGCTAGCAAATATAGTAGTTTTATAAAATATCAATTTGTTTAGTAATAATTCTGCTTTATGCCGTGCAAATAATGAAAAATATTTATACATTGATTGGAGCAAGTAAATTACAGCAATAGTAGTAGTAAACTAGTAGTAGTATAAATAAATTTATAAAAGATATGACTTACACTCATAAAGAAAAAAGCTTTTTTCATTTGGTGTAAAACTATTTACTAAATTATTTAAAAATTTACGACAAGCATTAGAAAAGAATTTACAAAGTAATTTTACGTTATGCAAAGCAAAGACACACCATTAGAGCTGTCAAAACAGGTCAGTCCAGCCCAACCCAGCCTAGCCCAAGCCTCGTGGGCTTTTAAAATTTGATGGGTTACGACAGGCCGGCCCGCCATATGAATGAGCCTTAAAATGGCCAGCCCAACCTATCCCTAAGAAGACTGCGGGCTAGGGCGGGCTAGCCTTTCAATTTTTTTTTAGAAAAAAGAATTTCTTTAAATCCTTAAATATTTTTCGTGACATAGTCGATTAATCATGTAAATAACTTTTTTTTGCGTATAGCATACAAAAAGCTTTATATTTGAGAGGAATCTCGTAATTGAAATGCAAATTCTCTATATCTCTAACTATTCTTTTTTAAAGTTACATGAATATTTTCTTAATACTTTTCTTTCATTTTCCTCAGATTCAGGGATTGCTTCAATAAGTTTATATGCTGAGTTTTATTTAATTCAGGATTAACATCATTTGCTGATTTCATCATTATAGTCCATGAAATTTTTAAAATTTCTGAAATTTGCTAGTAGTCAATTTTTTTGTGTGTACATTTAAAATCGTTCTTTTTATGCACTGAACAATAATTTAAATATTAATAATATATTAAAGTAATCCAAACTATTCATTGGCCACTTAAAGTAATATTTTCTTTTGAAAAAAGATTATTATTGGCCGACTAAAACTTTTCGTGTTCATTATTAATTAAGCAAAATAAAAACTAATTTTGTCATATTACATGCATGTCAAAAATATAAATTTTAGTTGATATGGAAGGTAAATGAGCAACCTAGGGTTGAAGAATGAGGATTATAGTTAATAATTTTTTAGTTTTTATTTTTTTAAATATTAGATATTTAATAGTTAATTAGTTTTTGGCCCACGGGATGGCCCAAGCCCAGCCGTCAAGCCTCAAGGGCTAGCGGGCTGACTTGGATCGGGCTTATAAGCTTCAGTTTTAAATGGGCTAAAAAAATCCTAGCCCAACCCTACCCAAGAAGCGGGCTGGATTGGGATAGCCTCACAGGCCAAGCCCATTTTAACGACTCTACACACTGTTATGAAATTTATCATAGATATCATATTTTGTTGCTTTGAAGTTATTCCTCTTTCTTTCTATAATAACATGGATAATTTACAGTTCTAAATTTAACACAAAAGAAAGAAAGAGAAAAGGAGCTAAACAGAGCAGGGCGGGGCAGGGCTAAGTAGGGTGGGGCAAGGCAGGTTGAAAAAGAGAAAAACTATTAAATGGGG